ATCTACCACAAGGTGGAAAGATAACAACCAGTTAGCAGATAGCGATGCTATATAAGAACTTCAAATACTTACTGTCCAAAGTTGCGACAAGCTGACTGCTCCCAGTGCTAAGGGCATAAAGAAGCCTGATAAGGTGCATGAATAGCACCTTCCAGGTACCCAATTTGCACTCGTGCATGAAGTCGACGACGAGCATGCAAAATGGGTCAAAACCGAATGATCCAAGCTTCTTTACAAATCAATTCTGCAAGTAGACAATTTACAACTAATCATAAGATAGTAAGGAAGCTGTCACACTTACCATAACAGGTACCCACAAGCCCTCCCCAAGACTATGTTCTACTTTCACGCCATCTACAGTGTTTCCCCCTGTGTAGATAAACTTGCAAGCTTTAGCAACTTTGGCAGTGATGTATACCCGAATGTTGGTTATACGACTTTTCATGTCCCTCATGAGCCCAAGAGAATTGAACAAGTTTTTTGGCATGAGGCAGCGAGGACATGGACACAGGCCCATGTCCTTGATGGTCACGATTAAAACCCTGTAAGTTGATGAGTAATCTGACACTCTTGAAAAAGTCAGTGATGTTCACACTTTTCAGGATAATCAGCAGAGTATGTGAAGATTCGGGGAAAAAATCTGTGCAGCACTCCATCAGCACATTTAAGAATAATACCGTGATGATATGCATTAATGAAGTCCTCATCCAACAGGATGTCCCAGCAAGTTTGAAACAACTCCCTGCGGCAGTGCGCATGAAGGGATGTCATGCCAGTTTTAGATATATGAGATAGGCCACTCAGAATATCTTTGACACTGTCAGGAAGCTGACTGTATTAGAGGTAGACATTCATGCAGGATCAGATGACTTACTGAAGGCAAGAATCCTACAAGATGACATGCTCCAGATTGGGGTGCTGATCATGCATATTTTGTTAGATTTCCAAAATACATGTAGAGTGGCCAAGCTTTTGCAGTTCTGAAATTTGCCAGATGAGTGGCATCAGAAAAAAACATAAGGCCCACAATGACATGTTCCAGTGAACATCCAGGCTCCCTTGGCAGCTTCTGCAGATTATCCTGGGCTTGCAGCCAGGCATCGGAAGTGTAGAGTTCATCATATACTCGCTCCTCATGGTTGTCCAAAGGATCTCTCCACAAGCATTTGAAAGGTAAGAGATGGTATGCCTGAGCTTGGACATCTGCGAATGTGGTGCATATCACTTCGACAAGAGGGCAGTAGTGGAATTCGGGAATGATATAATCATGAGGGCTGTCCTCTGCTGACTTCGTTGGAATTTTGATTGTTACACTAGTCTGAATCCAGTCATCTGGAAAAGTAATTCTTTTCTGGTTCTCGTCCACGTCCAGTTCTCGCAAGCTCTTCCTCACTGAGAAGTTCTCGAGGTGCATACAATCATAATCCTCTGCTAGCAATGCATCCTTGATGAGGCACGAGACCTTAGTTTTGGATACCAGATTACCACCTGAGTTCATCCAAGACATAAGACGGTAGATTGTCATATTAGGAAATGGGTAAGGCGGTGCAAAGACCTTCAGTGGTGAATCAGTTTCTTCGGCAATTTGTGGAGACATTTTTGCAAGTAATGAGGATGAAACAAATTTATCCGGTTCATAGGAAGGCCGATGAGGGTATAGTCGGTAGAGTCCAAACAAGTTGAAGGTGGTCTGAAGAGTGTCTCTCAACATTAAAATGACATGTTGAATTCTGGACTGGGCTGGGAGTGAAGGCAGACCTTGAGCTGATGCGATATTGACATTATTGGAATGGTTTAAATCTTCCTGTGAAGGCTCGATAATATTCAGAGGTCTCGGGATTCGTCTCATGGGGTGTGCATATTCCTCTAAATGATTCAAGTAATCATAAGCACAGCAGAAAACAGTTGCTACCTTCGAGGAAACACAAACCTATATCATGGCCCAGTACATCTCCAGACTCATTGCTCATTTCGACATCAATATGATCATTTTGTCGCCCGTCTACTAAGTGGAGGTGTGAGTCCATCAACAAAGAGGTGCTGCATAACCTGCGAGTCATAGACACTGGCTCCCAAAGCTCACAAGGGATGATTTGTTTCAGACTCAGACAGTCTCTCACATGCTGGATGGCTAATATTTTCTAAGGTTGAAAATAACTGGACTCTCCACTTTGAAGCATTGGTAAGTTACTCACCAGGGTACTCGTTGAATGGTTTGGTAAATTTGAAACAGCTACCTCATTTGCATGATCTTGTCGCCTCCAGTTCACGAGAGTGCTAACCCTCTTATAGAAAAGACAACTTGTATGATGCCTACTGAGTCCTTGGCTGTCCATTTTCCTCTCCCAGGAGCAGCCCAGAGCATTGCAAGACACCATCAAAAGAAAAATTGAAAAGGCAGGTCCAAAGAGTTTCTATGAAGTGCATATTGCTATGACTCGGAGGTCATGGAGCTGACTAGTAAGTGGACATCTTTGCGACTGACATGAACCTGACCTCGGCTGTTAAAAATAAGCTTGAAATTAGCGCTCCGATTCCGCGCCAACAAGATATTGAGTACAATATAGATTCACTTACTGTATGATTCCATAAAGCTGGAGAATGTGCATCCAAATTGGGAGTATGTCATACACATTTGGTGACAGAGGGACACTTAGGTTTCCTGACATTTGCCGTGATTGACTGTATTTTCTACTGATAGGGAAAGCGGAAGCAAGGAAAACCTCGCATGAGGCCAGAGAGCCTCTGCTGCCAAATTGTGGACAAGAGCAGAATGCATGAGATGCTGCAGGAGCAGAAACTCCCTCACTAGCAGAGCCAGATGGCCTGATCACAGCATTAACATGAATGGCCACAGGTGGGAGCAAGGAATTGTAAATCCTGAGCTCGAGGCCAGAAGACCTCTGCCGCCAAGTTATGTGGGAGCCGCAGCAAGGAGATCCTTGCCTCAAGGCCAGAAGACCTTTACAACCCAATGCTGGTAATGACTCGGAGATTTCTGGAAGCAAAAGCTTCATGCAGCGGGCCAGATGGCCCAGATCTCTTGAGTCTCAGTGCCATTCAAGTTATGTACTTAACGCTACTACTACTAGTAAGTCCCGAGTGTGCAAGTGTAAAATTTTAACTTGTTTGGCTTAAGCATGAAAGTCACCTGATTGAATAATTACATAATCAGAACAGTCATAGTCTAAATATCTATAATATGATCCGAGTCTGCAGTGGTACTTCAAGCTGCTATGAAGTACCAGTATTAATAACAAAGGCTGGCAGCTGTGTTATTTTGTCCTAATCATGGTGAGTAGTATGTCCGCTGGCAAAGAAACAAGGCCAAGCCAACATGCTGACCATGCACCAACCTCAGGCTGCCCTAACTATAACTACTACCAGTAGTATGCCACCTTATGACAGACCAGTTTTCATGCCATGGCCTTCATTGGTTCGATCACTGTTTTGTCATTCTTTGCTGTATTTTATTACATCAAAGACTGACTGCCAGTCTGTGCCTGTTTTCTCCTGACATATGCACTTCACAGCTGGAGCAGGATTTTTAGATTCTTCCTCCTGGTCTGGATCGTGACTATCAACTTGAACATCGCTGATGTTTCTCTTACGAGCCTGACAAGCACTGGTGGTACACGTGGCTTGAACTGGTAAGATGACCTCACCACCTGCACGAACTCTCTGACCTATCATCAGTGCAACGAATGAAACATAGTGTAAGGCACCTACCGTGCTTTGGTTTTCCTCCTGTTTATCAGGTTGCATGGAAAATCCAGCATTGATGAAGCATTTTTTCTCCTGCGTTGCCTTGCTTTGAACGTCTGTCTAAACATGAGTCTTGTGAATCTGCTCTGTGGTTTGCACTTACTTATGACTCTTGTTAGCTGTCCAAGTGCTGCAGCACCTATATGTCGGGTATGCGACTTGGCATGAGACCTCTTATTGTCGTTGTCAGGAATAGCGATTAACACAGGCGATGAACCAAAACCAGAGAGGATGGTCACAGTATCATGTCCTAGTAAGTCCGAATCATATCATGTTGTGCAAGGGTCTGCGAAAGATGATGATTTCAGTTCCCAGAACACCGAAACATCTTCACTGCTGCAGCCAGATGTAGAAAATTTGGCCATGCGATCACTTTTAACATGTGCCATTATATATTTGATCCAAGATGGCTGAGCAGTACCAGTTGCATCCAAGTCAAGATGGTCATAATCAGAGTAAGACATTGTCTAAGGAAACTCAAGCTGGTGATCTAAAAATCCAAAGCTGGCCCCAATGAGTTATTATAACTGTCACAGTGTTACTAGTGACGTACTATGGCTTGGGCCTGATACAGAGAAGTTCGACGTGTACTTATGTGCATGTGCACAGGGTAGGGCTTCATGCAAGCTAATTATTAATATGTTCCTATCATATCTGTTCGCTCGCTAGGAAATTCACTCTGCCACTCAAGATTCAGGGGTCGATATTTCAGATCTCTGCAAATATCAATACCAAAAATGGTGACTGCTCCAGTGCTCATCAGGTAACTCGCTACAGAATGCTGCAGAATGCTTACAGAGTGCTCTGTAGCACAATTGAACCCCGCTGATGCTGATGCCTATGAGTTCTGGGCCTTAGCGATGCAAATTTGTATCGCCAAATTTGGTAATTGGGGCTTGAATCAAAGAAGTTCAGCATCTATTCCCCCAAATGCCTCATGTCTCAAAGATGGTTCTCAAGATCTCACCCTGTGCAATACAGCATTGTGCATTCCTGGCTCGTGGTTCTTACCTCATTGGACAGCTAACAAGACTTCATTCATTCAATTCAAGTGGGACACACTGGCATGATAACTGTTAGTCACCAGCTGCAATTGGATCTTTAAATCTCCACTAATGCCAAAATTGGTCAATGTTAATGGACCATGTGTTTGATGCATTGATGGGCCTGAAGTAACTACCATGGAATGGAATAATTAAGGGATTCTTTAGGGAAGGCCATTGAAAGCCCGACAGCTATTTACCGCTTAGGAACTCATTGTCTAGTGCAAGTTCAGCGGCATACTTCCTCCCACCACCCTAGCATTGAAAAAATGAACTCACTAGGTGCCACTTCGTGCAAAGGTTCATGTTTGCCACCTCCTCAACGCTCTTGTACACCAAATTACTGCCCTCCCAGTTACCTAGCCTCTCCATCCCAAAGCTCTCCACCAAGCTCTCCCTCATCATACAGGGAATCAGGTATTTGGTATCAGTCCTGATATAATGTTGCTTCACTTACACGGCAGTGACAGCAAAGATCACGGTCTCAGAGACGGACAATGAGGTTTTCCCATTGACACCTGATTCTAACCGTGGACACGTCAAGCATCGCTCCAGCTCCTTCACTTTGGCTGGGTCGCCGACTTCATGTCAGCCTCCCAAGCAGATGGATCAGAGTGAAATTAATTCTTTTCATCTGTATCACTGGCCACTTTCTTTTCAAGACTGTCATCTAGTTGATCGTCTTTTGGGGAGATGCAACAGTGACGAACATATTTCAGAAGATCTGAGCAGTAGCGAGGTAGTACCTTTTTGTTTCAAAAGTGCTTAAATCTCATCATATGCATCACATTTCTAGATGGATGACATGTTTCTGACACATTTGGATGAGCTTGGCCAACATTTTCTGCTTGGTTGTTCACTTGAAGGAAGCAGTCCATGAATGTCAATGCATGCGCCTCTTCACATCATACTGGGAACTGGAGGAAAGTACCCGACGGAGCACACTATGATTGGTTGTATTGTGAAGCACAAGTGGATTTCTCTCGAGCAGAACGAGAATCACAAATGATATTGACAGCACTCCTTGAAATGCATCCACCACCTGCCAATGTCGCAGATACCAAATATCTCACTCAAATCTGCTCCCGCAACAAGTCCTCTCTCCATCAAACTGATGCTCAACTTGATGTCTTCAAACGTCATCTTGAAGGCAATTGGAATTTCAGGTTGTCCATTGATGTTGCCGCTGGTACACCAGGTGTTGTCCCAGGCAGCTTTACTAGTGATGTTGGAATTTCTGTTGCTAATTAGTGAGATCTCATTGAACACTCATTGACATTTCTTGGAGAGGTTCATGAAGATGCTCTCCTGTTCGCGCTTATGTGTTAAAGTGTACATAGTTCTTTACATATGTTGTTGTTCCAGTAGAAGAAGAATGAGACTGTATGATCAGTCATATATACTAAAGCTCAAAGAACATCTGTAGTCAACAGCCCTCCCCAACAATACTGAAGCCCCGCTGATGATAGGTAACCCCCTGCGAGCAATGGTAGGATAGGAAATTTGTGGATCATGATGAGCGAACTTCTGCTGAAATGGTGGTGCACGCATGAGGGCCTATGATTGCTTGACCTTTAACAAATGAGATTTTATTAGGAAGAGTGAAAGTGGACAGAGTGACGTACCAATCGTTATGTACAGTCCACCATTACTAGTGAAAAGGTCGTACACTCGGTCTGCAATGTGCTGGTAGATGATAGGTATACAGTTTGCATGCTCTGGTGTGACTCAGTTAAGCCCGTAATCTGCTGATATGAGTGGACACTATCCATCTTCAGTCAAAATTTGAAAGCACTGAATCAAGATTAGGCTTACAGTCCATAGTGTGCTGGGGCAAACACAGACATTGGAAAGACTATCATCACTACTGCTCTCATTTGGGCTTTGGCGCTCAACAACAACCACATTTTTTATCTTAAGCCGGTGAGTACTGGTGCACCACAGGATGCAGATGATGAGTGTGTGTTTTTCATCATGTAGAATGTGTCACTGAATATTGTTCTTCATGTGCTAGACATATAAAATGTCATGCAGGGCCCCAAAAGCATCTAGTGGACACTCATTGCTTGTTCTGCTATGGAGACTCTGTTAGTCCGCATCTTGCTGTTAAGATGGCTTCTGAGACTCAAGGTGGACTTAAAATGGGTGGTTGTTGATGTGGCTTGTGATGAGCTGATGTTGGAGCCTGGGATAACTTGAAGGTTTCTGCACCTTCAGATGAAACATTTATTGGATCTGTGGTGGAGCATATCAGAAAACGGGCTAGGATTGTGAGTGGGCTGGGTCATATGTATGTGGAGACTGCTGGAGGTGAGCACTACTTCAATACATTTTGATACTTCCTGCTAACTGATTTGCTCAGGCGTCCACAGCCCAACACTTTCCAGAACAACCCAACTAGACACCTACCGCACCCTCTTCCTCCCTGCCATACTAATCAGAGACTCCAGACTCGGCAGCATATCATCAACCATCTCAGTGTTTGAGTCCCTCCTCCTCCATGGATACATCATAGATGTGATCCTCTTATTCTGGGACGAATACTACAGGAATTATGAATACCTAACACAGTATTTTGCAGAATGAGGGACACATGTCACTGCTCTTGACCCTCCCACCCACATCTTGACTCTATAGAGAATGTTGCAAATACAGAGAAATACTACTCAGATCTTGTCCCAGACACCCTTAAAGGCGATATTTGTACTGCACTGGAACATCTAGACCGGTGTCACACTAGACACATTGAAGAACTAGACTCAATGCCCTGTCATATGCTTGACATGATCTAGTGGCCATTCATACAACATGGGTTGGTCAAGACCAAGAAGGATTTTTCGGTCATCGACAGCACATGATCAGATTTCTTTAGCATTTATGATGCTTCTTCTGGGAAAACTTCACCTTTGCAATCAAAATCTCTATTGCAACCTCAACTGGACGGGTCCGCTTCATGGTGGATGCAAGCTGTTGGACGTGCTCATCCGACACTGGCACTTGCTGCTGCAAATGCGGCAGGACATTATGGCCATATCATGTTCCTGCAGGCAACTCATATTCCTGCTCTAAAGCTTGCTGAATGCCTCCTTCAAGGACCAGGCAAAGGCTGGGCTTCTCGTGTATTTTTCTTAGATAATGGATCTACTGGGATGGAGGTTGCGCTTAAAATGGCTTTACAATCATTCATTGTCAGCTCTGGACTCAAGTTGAGTTCACTGGAGAAGAAGAATTTGAGGGTTGTCGGATTACAGGGGAGTTATCATGGAGATATGATCGGGGCTATGGATGCTTGCGAGGAGGGGGTCTATACTTGTGAATGGCATGAAGCGAAGGGTTATTGGTTTGAGCCACCAACCTTGTCCAATCGGCAAGGCCAGGTCACTATTTCCCTTCCACCTGCTCTGTCGTCTCTCACCAGTGATCAGCGGACAATCAAAAGATTTGAAACACTCTCTCATGTTTATGATGTCGAGCAGCATCTCAAATCTCCACTAGCAAAACACTACAGGCAATACCTAAATAAACACATGCGTAGCCTCCAGGCAGACGACACCCAAAAACTTGCAGCTCTAATCATCGAACCCATCGTGCTGGGCACAGGAGGGATGATATTTGTGGATCCATTGTTCCAACGGTTCATGGTCAATGTTGTCCGCCACCCCGCCATATTTGGGTGCATCACAACTGACCCACCGGTATCCAAAGAGATTGCGTGCCAAATATTGACATCACATGTCAATCACATGTACTCAGAAACAGCGCTTGAATCCCAGTGAAAACCCAACATGATGAGGTCAGGTGCCAGCGGGTCAGATCTGAAAATTCCTGCTTGAATATGAAATTTCCCGAGCTGCTCACAGAGGGCTCGAGTAGATCACATATATTACATGATGAGGCAGGGTTTCCTATGATGACATCGGACTTTTGTTGTATCAGTCATATTTCACCTGATCTTAGCATATTCTTAGTTATGGTCTAGATGCATTGAATTGTGATGACAGCGGATGAGAACGGGTGACATGGGATTGTAGCATTACAAGCAGGAATTACTGCAATTGATGGGGCGGTAAAACTGATACGAAATTGGGAATCGGTGGGGGGGGGACTATATGCAGGGGAAATAACAATGAAAGCAGTGAGAAATACAGAAGCAGATGACAGAGTGGAAAAAACATGCAATTGAGACAGTGATGAGTGAAGAAAAGAGCCAGGAAATGCAGGAGAAAGACTAGTACATGAATACCATCACAGACGGCTTCGTCGGATCCCTTCGTCCAGTCCTGTGATCTGCAACCGTCCCATGTTGGCCTTGTACTCATCCTGTTGTGCAGATGTGAGTGCAGCCCAATACAGGCAAAATTAGTCTATAGTGCTGCTCACCGTCTTCAGCCAGCATGAGGCACATAAATTTCTGTGTGAAAATAGTTAGCATGTAACATTGAATAGTTGAAATGAACCTATTTACAAAAAATTTCTTGCAGCACCCGGCAGACACATGGAACAGCTATGGCAAGCAGTCAAAAAAGCCACTCTCAGGGCATCAAAAACTTGAAAGACTCACACCAGAGTCCAGAAGAAATACTGCAGTCTGCGCATTGTTGAAGATTTGGTGAAGCTTAATGGATCAACAAAGATAGGGGAATGTCAATAAGAGCTTTCGTGTGAGCATCTAGGAGCAGATCCACTGCCAGTAGTAGACATTGAGGTAGCAGAAAGAGACATGTTTGGATATTTTTGGACACTCAAAGACATACTTATATGAACTTAGTAAAAACCGTTGTGGATTTAGTATGACGTCAACACAATGCAATCACAATGCGCAATGAGATCACAGTGAAAGTGATGTGATGTGCGACAAAAAGGGCGATGAGAGTGATGCAAGTGGTGCAAACAATGTGCAGCACAACACAAATGACGCAAGAACGATGCGAAATGATGCAAGAACGATGTGAACGATACAAAAATGATGCAAGGACGATGCACAATACGACGAAGACGATGCAATATTTGGTCGAAAATCTCAGAGCTCATCATTTTTCGCATTATGTAATTATAGAATTATCATATTCCACCTGATCTCATCATGTTGGGTTTTCACTGGGCTTGAATCTTGATAAGCAGACAGACCTTCAATTCTGGCTCTTCTCTCACTTTTACCCTTCATTCACCCCATCGCTATCAATGGCACAGACAAAGCAGACCAGCAAGAAGATGACGGGAGGACCTGCGAAGCGCGGTACACTACCGCAGCTCAAGAAGCTTGCCAGCCATGCTGGCACGAAAGTCATCAAAACTGTGCAGTCCAAAGCATTACCATTGAGTGGCAAGGTCGTGCCGAGGCCCTTGCTGCATAACATCGTAAGTTTTCAAAACTCTGTCGCCCTCTCTGTGTTGTAACTCACTGACTTGTATAAGTACTGCCTTTTTTGCTGGGACAGGGGTGCTTTGTATGAATGTTCTATATGCCCATGCACAGTCTGCGTAAATTGTGTCGTCATTCCAGCAGAGTTTCGAGAGTGCATTGAACACCCCGACATTCACTTCATCTGCCCTGGGTGCCATGAAATGCGTGGAAAGGTTTCCAGGAGTAATATCATGAGGCCATACTACATCAGTTTTATTTCTCTATTTCTCAAAGATATGGCTATCTGACCTTAATTAGGGATTTGAGGACCATGATGGAACCCTGGTGCTGATGGTCCCTGCTACCATTCATGGACACATCGAGATGCCCAGTCAGTCGCAGATATCCAGCAACCCTATCCTTGTCTTACACGAGCCCCTTCAATGACAAATTCTGTATTATACGGGCCACCCGACCTCCATAATATCCCGTATGAGACGGGCCAGCTGATCATGGGCCCATGTTGTGTATATTCTCGATGATGGCAGATGGGCCGGGACACATATTATTTCCGATTGAGATGGGTGGGCCCATGTATGCCAATGATATATATATCCTTAATGTTGATGGATGGGCCAGGGGAATATGATCATTCATGGAGATGGGTGGGCCCATCTGGGTAATATGTAGAGTAGGATATTATAGACAGCTGGGCTGAAGAGAGATGTAAGGCAAATATTGTTATATAGACAGGTGGGCCGACGTGGGTGTATTACATATATGGGTGGGCCGAGGTAGGGGAATATTACATAGACGGGTGGGCTGACGTAGGGTGTATTACATATAGAGGTGGGCCAACATGGAATGTATTACATATACGGTGTCTTCTTAGATAGATGATCTATAGATAAACACCTATAAAAACAAATATCTCCACGGTCAGCGATTCAGACAAATACCAATGGCTGATAATGTGGTCGTTCGTGGGTGGCTGTTTACACTTCCCAAGCTATGTCAGACAACAGTACTTCTGTAAGGTCAGCAACAATGCAGTCAATCCAACAAAAAATGAAACTGAAATGAAATCACTCCAATGGTATGGCAGTGATTGAAAGACGAAAGAAAACTAGTCAACCCAACGGTATGGTGATGACAAAAAGAAACAAAGAAAAAAAGACACCTCTTCAAACCTTCCTTCAACAACAATGCCTTGTAACAATCGTATCTCGAAAGAGTTGTGTGGAATTACAGCAATCAACCCCCTCAGCACAAACAGGTAGAATCAAAGGTCAAGACTAATCAATGCTCAGTAGAACTCTTAGCTCACTGTTGAACCTGCTGCCAAGGAACTCACGATGAGTATTAAACAGAATCAGGAACGGACGTCCTTGGTTTCAGTACCAAGTCCCCTATTCAACAACTAAAGTCTAGCAGACAAGGAAGATCCTGGCTCAGTATCACTACTCAGATGAGTGAGGTCAAGCGTTACTGTCAATCCCTAAAGTCTCCCCACTAAACTATTCAGAGTCTAGATGGACGAAAGAGACAACACAAACGCTTCTGAAAATATGAATGAAAGCTTAGCACTGAAACTTGAAAGAGAAGAAAGAGAGAGGATCACAGAGAGAGAGAAAAGAGAGAAAGAGAGAAAGAACAAAAAAAAACAAAAACAAAAAAAAACAAAAGAAAAACTAAAACAAAAGAGTGACAGAAAAGAAAGACAAAGAAAGAAAGAGAGAGAAAAGAGAAAGGAGAAAAGAGAAAAAGAGAAAGAAGAAGAAAACTAGAAAATCAAAGAAGAAAAAAATAAAAAAAAGTTCTGTTGGTCGTTGAGCACAGTGAGCTCAAGGTCTTGGTCGTCGTTGGTGGTGATGAGCTAAAGGTGTTGCTGGATGCTGATGCTGATGAGCTTAGGGGCTTGCTGGTTACTGAAAGTTGCTGGCTGACTACTGGTTACAATGACTTTGCTGAAGGTACTTGACAGCCCTGGTCACTGTTGTTGACAATGATCACACTTCACACACAATTTTATTCTGAAAGTGGGGCTAAAAAGCTCTCTTCTTTGGGCAAAAATTTGGGTCTTATATACAAAAAAAAGGGTGGCTGTGCTACGTTTTCCTGCCATCTATGAGGGGTGAGCTTAGTCAGCGGTACCAAAAATCATTTTGCAGGGGTTGCTTATGTTGCACAAAATGAGACCATAATTAGTCAGCATTAGTCAGCATGCTTGGGCTGAGTGTTCTGTCATCACTTGATTTGGATCAAAAGTCACCTGACTTAAGATCATGTGATTTAGCATCATGTGACTGAAGGGTCATGTGACAGGCTGATTGTGCACCGCAAGAGAAATATTCATGATCATTGGTGTTCCGTTCTGATGTCACTTTGTTGAATGAGAAAATGATGTGAGGCAAGTATTTAGGGTTTTGAGGAAGTTTTCCCAGGGTAACCCATGCAAGAACTATTTTTCACAGTCACCTGACATGTGTGGGATTCAGCCTGAGTCATTGTTGAGGATGACTAAGCAAAATTCATCGCAGAATTAAATATACAAAAATATTCAGCCTGTCCGAGTTCCATTGAAAAGATGAAATGAGATATTTGTCTGAGCTGCATTCTGGCTTTAGAATAGAGGGAAATGGTTTCGTAGTGATTTCTAGGGTATTAGGCTCATGGGAGAGCATTAGTCATCCATGCACCGAACCAGTTTGGTGCAGGTCAACGGGTGGGCTGACGAAAGGGATATCAAATAGACCGGTGGGCCGAGGGTGCGATAAAATATTTATTACATAGACAGGTGGGCCGAGGTGGGGTATAATTATATAGACAGGTGGGCCGACATAGGATGTATTATATAGACGGGTGGGCCTACATGGGATGTATTACATAGACGGGTGGGCCGAGGTGGGGGATAATACATAGACGGGCGGGCCAATGGGGGTGTATTACATATATGGGTGAGCCTAGATATGTTCCATCAAGACATACAGCTGATGTAGCCACCAGCGAATCAAACACGTAGGATACATGTACACTATGAGTGCATATACCTACCATCAACCACCAAATCTAAACCCCTAAGCACGAAAACATGAATCGACCATGTGTGGCATTGACCAATAATCCAGGACTGAAGTGGAAAAACCCCACACCTGAACCCTGGTGTGCAACAAATCCTATTTCTAAGCATGGACACCAGAAGCACAACACTCACAAAAATATATATGTCAAATTTTCAGTGCCAAACCCCAAACCGAGATGTACCAACCCCCGAACCCCAAAACCCACATTGACTTACCCATGTTTGCAATATATTTTTGTTCAGACATACCGAGTTCCGAATTCCGGACACCCGAACCCCGAACCCCAAGACTGCCGGGTCTCGGGTATCGGTGGTCCGGAACTCAGAACTCGGTATGTCTAAACAAAAATATATTGCAAACATAGGTAAGTCAATGTGTTTGTCAATCAACTTGATTGTAAATCAAATTGTATTGATCTCCCCAAATTTTCTCAAGTTCCGAGTTCCGGACACCTGATACCCGAGACCCGGCAGTCTTGGGTTTCGGGGTTCGGGTGTCCGGAATTCGGAACTCGGTATGTCTAAACAAAAATATATTGCAAACATGGGTAAGTCAATGTGTTGTCAATCAACTCGATTGTAAATTAAATGGTATTGATCTCCCCAAATTTTCCCAAGTTCCGAATTCCGGACACCCGAACCCTGAAACCTGAGACTGCCGGGTCTCGGGTATTGGGTGTCCAGAACTCGGCACTCGGGGAAATTTGGGGAGATCAATACAATTTAATTTACAATCGAGTTGATTGACAACACATTGACTTACCCATGTTTGCAATATATTTTTGTTTAGACATATCGAGTTCCGAGTTCCAGACCCCCGATACCCGAGACCCGGCAGTCTCGGGTTTCGGGGTTCGGGTGTCCGGAATTCGGAACTCGGTATGTCTAAACAAAAATATATTGCAAACATGGGTAAGTCAATGTGTTGTCAATCAACTCGATTGTAAATTAAATTGTATTGATCTCCCCAAATTTCCCCGAGTGCTGAGTTCCGGACACCCAATACCCGAGACCCGGCAGTCTCAGGTTTCAGGGTTCGGGGGTTGGTACATCTCGGTTTGGGGTTTGGGGGTTAGTAAAATGTTTACAGATATACATAGGTTGATTTAAACATGTCTGGAAGATGTCGTTCGTCTAAAATGTCAAATCCTGAGTTCCGGGTGTCGGGACTCGGTACCTGGCACCCGGGACTCGGGGTTCAGCACTGATAATTTGACATTCGGGTGTTCGGGTTTCGGGTGATATCTATCTCAATCTGCAGTTTCGAGTTCTGGATATCGGGAGTGATCATTGAATGATTCAATTGTGGCATAGGTAACATGCATGGAAAAACATTTATGTACATCTATCACTGAGCAATTATGTAGCCATGTCAACCTCCTCACCAGGAAGATCAACCTTTCCCTCAACATCCATCTCATCATCAGAAGAATCATATTCTGGCAGGAGGTTACCTGGTTCATTAGGGACCACAATATCGCCGGGGAATTCTGGCAGGAGGTTGCCTGGTTCATCAGGGAGAACAATTTCGCCAGAGGATTGTGGACCCTCAGGCTGAACTTGGGTGGGCTCAACCATGGGACCTACCATAGCAGATCCATGCTCAGGCGTCAAGGGTGTAGGTTCCATGACGGAAAAGTCCAAATCAATGAGGTTGGAAAGTGCGGAGGGGAGGGGTGACATGGACGGGGAGGACCTCCTTGATCAAGCAACATTAATCCATCGGCCTGTGTGTCCGGAAGTGAAAATGAAGGGTGCCGGTCGACCACTGTGTGCCGGAGGCTCTCATGGAGGCATTGCAGGGTATCAATCTTAGCGTCCTGCTCCTGCACCTGAGCCTCAAGAATAGCGATGCGAGCTGCACCATCCTGAATCGCGATTGCCATGGAATGGAGATCCGGCATGGGAACATTGAATGCTGCACGAGGCACTGCAATGCTGGAAGACCTGACTGCTAAGTAAAAAATTAGGTCAGCCAGTCATCAAAAGTATGGGTGACTTACCAGCTGGCGCAGGTGCAGGGACAGGTGCAGGTGCAGGTGTCTTCTTGGTAGTGATGGTCTTGCTGCGACCACATGACTGCACCTGGGGTGTAGTTGCAGCAGGGATGGCCGGAGTTCGGGAAGGGCCACAAGATTGACTACGAGTTCGGGCCCTTGACCGGGAGGGAGATGGAGCATTGGATGGAGCAGGGGCAGGTGTCTTGGAATGCATCCGGCCGGTGGTAGACTTCCCTCAGGTCCATTTGGGCGGGGATCCCAGAGATGCAGGGTTGCATTTGATCTTCTTGGTGGAGCAGCGGATGCAAGACAAGCAGGGGAGGCTGGACCTCTTGTCCAATCGAGTCGCACAGGGCCAATTTTCC